ACACAAAAGTCTCCCAAAACTGGACCAGGAAGAGATAGAAAACTTGAACAGACCAATAACAACTAAGGAAACTGAAGAGGTAATCAAGACTCTCCCAGCAAACAAAAGCCCAGGCCCAGATGGCTTCACGGGGGAGTTTTACCGAACATTCAAAAAAGAACTAACGCCCATTATCCTCAAACTATTTCAAAAAATTCAAGAAGAAGGAAGACTTCCAAACTCGTTCCATGAGGCCAGCATAATTCTAATTCCAAAACCAGAAAAAGACACTACAAAAAAAGAAAACTACAGGCCAATATCCCTGATGAACATAGACATCAAAATCCTGAACAAAATACTAGCAAATCGAATCCAGCAATACATCAAAAAAATTATTCACCATGACCAAGTGGGATACATTCCAGGGATGCAAGGCTGGTACAATATTCGCAAATCAAAAAATGTGATACACCACATAAATAAAATGAACAATAAAAACCACATGATCATATCAATAGATGCTGAAAAAACATTCGACAAAATCCAGCATCCAATTCTGATAAAAACGCTCTGCTATGTGGGAATAGAGGGATCATATCTCGACATCATAAAGGCCATATATGAAAAACCTACACTCAACATCATACTCAATGGACAGAAACTAAAAACATTTCCATTAAGAACAGGAACAAGACAGGGATGTCCACTTTCGCCACTCTTATTTAACATAGTACTGGAAGACTTAGCCACAGCAATCAGACAGGAAGAAAAAATAAAAGAGAATCAAATTGGAAAGGAGGAAGTGAAACTGTCATTATTTGCAGGTGACATGATATTACACATAGAAAACCCTAAAGACTCCATCAAAAATCTAGTAGACTTAATAAATGCATTTGGCAAAGTAGCAGGATACAAAAGTAACGTCAAGAAATCGACGGCATTCATATACACCAGTGATGAACTCACAGAAACAGAAACTGAAAAAACAATCCCATTTACCATTGCAGCAAAAACATTAAGATACATAGGAATAAGCTTAACCAAAGAAGTAAAGGACCTATTTGCAGAAAACTACAGGACATTGAAAAAAGAAACAGAGGAAGATATAAAAAAGTGGAAGCATATACCTTGTTCATGGATTGAAAGAATTAATATCATTAAAATGTCCATATTACCCAAAGCAATCTATAAATTCAATGCAATCCCCATCAAAATACCAACGACATATTTCACAGAACTAAAACAAATACTTCAAAAGTTCATATGGAACCAAAAAAGACCCCGAGTAGCCACAGCAATTTTGAAAAAGAAGGACAAAGTAGGTGGGATCACAATACCAGATATCAGGTTATACTACAAAGCCACTGTAATCAAAACAGCCTGGTACTGGCACAAGAACAGGCATATAGACCAGTGGAACAGAACTGAGAACCCAGAAATGGACCCAAGGCAATATGCTGAATTAATATTTGACAAAGGTGGCAAGAGCATACAGTAGAGTAAAGACAGCCTTTTTAATAAATGGTGCTGGGAAAATTAGACAGCTGTATGCAAAAAAATGAAACTAGACCATCAACTTACACCATACACAAAAATAAACTCAAAATGGATAAAAGACTTAAATGTGATGCATGAATCCATAAAAATTCTAAAAGAAAATGTAGGCATCAAAATTTCAGACATCATACGCACCAGAATTTTCACTGATACATCACCTAAGGCAACAGAAACAAAGCACAAAATGAACACATGGGACTACATCAAACTAAAAAGCTTCTGCACAGGAAAAGAAACAACCATCAAAATGGAAAGGCAACCCACTGTATGGGAGAACATCATTGCCAATGATACATCAGATAAAGAGTTAATTTCCATAATATAGAGGGTACTCATACAACTCAACAAAAGGAAGACAAAGAACCCAATTGAAAAATGTGCAGAGGAGCTGAACAGACACCACTCCAAATAGGACATACAAATGGCCAAGAGACATATGAAGAAATGCTCAACATCACTGATCATCAGAGAGATGCAAATTAAAACAACAATGTGGTATCACCTCACACCTGTCAGAATGGCCACCATCAACAAATCATCAAACAACAAGTGTTGGCGAGGGTGTGGAGAAAAAGGGACTCTACTACACTGCTGGTGGGAATGCAGACTGGTGCAGCCACTATGGAAAACAATATGGTGCTACCTCAGAAAGTTAAAAATTGAACTTCCATTTGACCCAGTGATCCCACTTCTAGGAATATACCCTAAGAAGCCTGAAACACCAATCAGAAAGAATATATGTACCCCCATGTTCATAGCAACACTATTTACACTAGCGAAGATCTGGAAACAGCCCAAGTGTCCATCAGTAGATGAATGGATAAAAAAATTGTGATACATATACACAATGGAGTACTATGCAGGTGTAAGAAAGAAAGATCTCTTATCCTTTGAGACGACATGGAGGGACCTGGAAAGTATTATCCTAAGTGAAACAAGTCAAGCAGAAAAAGACCAATATCACATGGTCTCACTTATTTATGGAATATAATGAACATAACAGTCTGAGGAACAGGGTAGACCCAGAAATATGGAAGTAGGGTACAGACTGACAACCCTCAAAAAGTGGGTGGTGGGGGGAGGGAAGAGATAAACCACAGAACTTACTATGCATGTATGCATAACCAATGGACATAGACAACAAAGTCGGGGACGGGGTGGGCGGGAGGGAGAGGAGGGTGTCAATGGGGTAAAAAAGGAGAAACATCTATAACAAAAATAAAATTTTAAATAAAATTTAAATTTAAATTAAAAAAATAAATTTAAAAAAAAAGAACATTTGGAGAAATAATGGTCAAAAGTCACCAAACTGGAGGGAAAAAATAACCTCTAGCCATTCAAATAAACTCTATCCATCTGAGAAGCTCAGCGAATAGGACAAACTCAAAGAGACCCAGACCTAAACACATCATAGTTGATGTGAAAAGCAAATCCAAAGAGAGATTTTGGAAAGCGGCAAGAGGAAAGTGACTTGTCAGATAGGTCAGATCTTTCTGAAAGGAATTTTGGGCTAGATCTTTAACCAGTCATTTTCACTCTTATCACATCTGGATTTCTTACAGTGCCCATAAATGCAAAATGAAAAAGTTATTTTTTTAAAATAATTTACTTTGTATTAAAGTAGATTTATTTTCATTTTCTACTTCATTCTTAAAGTATAAGGAACACAATACTTGATTCCTGATCATTCCAATCCAACTTTAAATCGCTGTTGTTCCCATTTTTTTCATCTATCCCTGAGCCCAATTTTACTTAAAAATTTTTTCATGTATAGGTAAAAGCTAAATTCTGCAAGGAGAACAGTTAGAACTGAAGTTTGTATATTTGGGGCAAAGCTGTTTGTTATTAGCTTCTGCTGCTTCCAATCTATAACACAGGTAAGAATGGGGCAATTATGCATAATAAGTATTCCTTTCAAAGCTAAAACACAAAAGAAGCCTTTGTCAAGTATTATTAATACCTTAAGTTCATCATAGCCAAAGCCATTCAAAGGAATAAATCTACCCCAAATAGGGGGGGAAAAAAAAAGTAAACTTACCCAAAAGTTCAACAACTGGTAAACAGAGAAAGTGTGGTACATCCACATAATGGAATACTATTTAGCAATAAAAAGGAATAAAGTACTCATACATGCTACAATGTGGATGAACCTCAAAACATGCTAAATGAAAGAAACTAGACCCAAATGACCACATATTATATGATTCCATTTTATAGAATGTGCAGAAGAGCAAATCCATAGAAAGGAAGTAGATTAGTGGTTGCCTGAGGCCAAGGGAGTGACTGAAAATGGGCAGGAGGATTCTTTTCTTAGTGATAGAAATATTTTTAAATTAGACTGTGGTGATGTTGCACAACTTTGTAAACTTACTAAAATTCACTGAATTGTACACTTAAAATGGGTGAACTTGGGGGTATGTAAACTAAACTCAATAAAGCTGTTGTCTTTTTTTAAAAAAATAAAAGAAACCTGTTTATCCCTGGCTGGTGTGGTTCAGTGGTTAAAGCATTAGCCCAAGTACTGAAGGGTTGCAGGTCCAGTTCCAGTCAAGGACATATATCTGAGTTGCAGGTTCAATCCCTGGCCTTGTCAGGGTGTTTGGGGAGGCAACCAATCAATGTATCTCTCTCACATAGATGTTTCTCTCTAATAAATAAATGCATACAAACATACATACATACATACATAAATGGAAAAAATATCCTCAGGTGAGGATTAACAAACAAAAGAAAAGGAAACCTGTTTAATTTCATTTAATATTTAAAGAACTAAGGGAAGAGTCCTCACCCCCCAACTTCTCTCTCTCTCTCATTCAAACACACTATTAAGAATCCCCAATTTTGCCCTGGCCTGTCTTGCTCAGCGGTTAGAGCATTGAGACCAGGGTTCAGTTCCCGCTAGGGGCCCGTACCTTGGTTGCAGTTTGTCCCCAGCCCTGGTTGGTCGTGTGGGTGGCAGCCACTCGATGTGTCCCTTTCACGTCGATGTCTCTCCCTCCCACTCTACCTGAACACAAAATGGAAAAATGTCCTCGGGTGCAGATTAAAAAAAAAAAGAGAGTCCCCAATTTTCCCTTAACCAGACTGACAATTTCTGCAATAGTTTGTAATATTTATTTCCTAGGTTTTTTTCCTATGGAAAGTTTATATTATTATTTCATTTAAATCATACTTCATATATTTTTATCCTTTTTTATTTCTTACATAATGAGCACCTTTACAAGTCATTAAATATTTTTCAAAAACATAATTCTCAATGGGTGAATAATATTCCATCATATAAGATACCCCATGGCTTCTGGGGAGGGAGTCTGAAGCCCAGGGATGAAGACAGATCTCTCCATTCCTGGAGATGCTCTGGTATTTATTTTCACTGTGTGGATATCTCTTCACTCCCCTTCTCAAAAAAATAATAATAAATAAATAAAGATAGATAGATGGAGAGTGCATATAAAAGGACTTACCACTGACTTTTTCTCCTTCTCATTTTCTTTATCTACAAAAGAAAAGAAATCAATATTTAAACTCAGTTTTAAATGATTTACTATTCTTTGTCCTAATTTGCTAAACCACGACAAAAACACTAATTTTTATGCTTACTCCCTGACCCAAAAATGCTTTCCAGTGACACCTGGGACCCTCCATGGGTGGACCGAGCAGCCTGCTAGAGCTCTCTACCTTTGTATAACACTGTACAACTGCTACCTGGGTCCTGTTGGCACATCTGGGCCCCAAATGAGTTTAGCTTTTTCACTTAGTATATTATAATTTCCATTTCCCACACATTCCATATCTATGATCTTCACAAGCCGGCATTCAGCAAGTGAAAACGCAGAGTGACCTCCACTCGCAGCGCACAGGTAAGAGTTGGCAGCCGTCATGGGTTTCAGCCCAGGACTCAGGTTTCTCCTCTAGGCCCAGAGCTGATATCGCAGCCCATCCACCTCCCAGGTAGTTCTGCGGTGTAACCCAGCAGCCCAAGGCCAAAGAACGTCTGGACCTGACTGTGAACAGTGGTTCCAGTTTCTGAAGGGGAGGGTCTGCACTACCTGTGGGAGAGCTAGGGCACTGGAGCCTAAACCACCCGCCTAAACAGCGCTGAGGGGCTGTTTATCTGCAGTTCCCAGCCTCTGTCTCCCCCAAGGCCAAGAGAATAGAACCAGGAGATGGACAGGAGACAGGAGCAACCCCCACCCATGGGGAAAGGGGGTATTTCTGCTCTTTTAAGGGCTCCCAAACTCCGAACAAGAGACGGGCGGGCTCGCAACTAGTGTTTCCCTTTCCTGGTGGCCGTCCCCGCCCCTTCCCGCAGCCACGGGAGTAAACCCTCGCGCCTCCAAGAAGGAATTTCGGTTCAGGCAGGTCCCGCGAGCTAAGGGAGAGGAGTAGGGCAGATACCGCTGACCGCTAAGGCGTGGGCCGCGCCCGGAGAGGTGGTACCCAGAGACGCGTTACCCCGAGGCCAGGCCCAGCGCTGCGCCCCCCGCTTTCCTGGGCCCCAGGCGGGGCTCCTGAGACCCTCCCGGCACAGCGTCCATGTAGCCCAGCTCCGTAGCGGCTGCAGGAGCATGGCCCGGGGAACAGATCTGGCGGGTCTGCACTTCCTCCCTGTGTAAGCTAACGTGAGTCAGCCGGATCGCAGGTCATCTGCGGGCCGGCTTCTAGGCACCGCCTCCATTCCCGCGCCCGCATGGGCGGGGCGCCTCCTGCAGCCGGTCTCTTAAAGAGACTTCGTCGCATTTCACCCTACTCCGAGAATGAAAATAATTCAAGGTGAGGAGTTCGCTGTGCAGTCAGGAAATCTTCCCGCCACGGGACTCTGGCAGAATTAACCCATGACTTGGCAAGACTGGAGGATGGATGGCCAATAATACCAGCGACTAATTGGTTAATAATTATTGGAGACTAGTTAATAGAGCACCTATTCTAGCTAGGCACATGACACACAGTCACCTTGTCATTTATTCTTCCCAAGAACTCTGCAAGTGTTTATTGTCACTCCCATTCTCCAAGCTAATCTGATCCTCAGAAACATAGGCAACTTGTTTAAATGATCAGAAGCATTCTTTATGGAGTAGAGGTGGAATTCAGGCTCATCTACCCTGTTTCTCAGCCTTCACTCTCTCCTCTGAACTTGAACATATCTGGAAAAAACAAGACAACAAAGAATCCTAAAATTTGTATGGAACTACAAAAGGCTGTGAATAGCCACAGCAATCTTGAGAAAGAACAAAGCTCCCTGATTGCAAACTATACTATAGAGCTATACTAATCAAAACAGTATGGTGCTGGCATGAAAATAGTCATATAGATCAATGGAATAGAATAGACAGCTCAAAAATAAACCCATACGTATATGGTCAATTAATCTATGAAAAAGGAGGCAAGGTTATAAAATAAGGGAAAGACAGAGTCTCTTCAACAAATGGTGTTGGGAAAATTGAACAGCTACATGCAAAAGAAGGACACTGGACCACTATCTTATACCATATACAAAAATAAATTAAAGAATGGATTAAAGACTTGAATGTAAGACCTGAAACCATAAAATGCCTAGAAAAAAATATAGGCACTAACCTCTTTGACATCTGTCTTGGAAATATTTTCTTGCACCAGTGTCCTCAGCCAAGAGCAACAAAAGAAAAAATAAACGAATGTGATTATATCAACCTTAAATGCTTTTGCACAGTGAAGAAAACCGTCAACAAAATAAAAAGGCAACCTACAGAATAGGAGAAGATATTTGCAAGTCATACATAAAATAAGGGGTTAGTATCCAAAAATTATAAAGAACTTATACAACCCACTATCAAAAAAAATAAACAACCCGATTTAAAAATGGGCAGGAGGCCCTGGCCAGTTTGGCTCAGGGGTTGGAGCGTCCATCTCGGGTTCAATTCCGGTCAAGGACACATACCTGGGTTTTGGTTTGGTCTCAACCCTGGTTAAGGTCATGCGGGAGGCAACCAGTCAATGTGTCTCTCTCACATAGATGTTTCTGTTTCTCTTCCCCCTCCACCCCCCCACTCTATCTGGAGATAAATGGAAAAAAATATCCTCGGGTGAGAATTTAAAAAGAAAGAAGAGCCCTGGCCGGTTTGGCTCAGCGGTTAGAGCGTCAGCCTGCGGTCCAGAGAGACCCGGGTTTGGTTCCTGCTAAGGGCATGTACCTCGGTTGCAGTTTGTCCCCAGCCCTGGTTGGTCATGCGGGTGGCAGCCACTCGATGTGTCCCTTTCACATCGATGTTTCCCTCTCTCTCTCTTCCTCTCTCTCCCTCCCACTCTGTCTGTACAAAAAATGGAAAAAAGTGTCCTCAGGTGAGGATAAAAAAATAAATTTAAAAAAAGAAGAAAATGTCTTTGAATAGACATTTTTCCCAAGAAGAGATACAGATGGCCAACAGGCACATGAAAAGATGCTCAACATCACTGATAATCAGGGAAATGCAAATCAAAACCACAATGAGATAGTATGTCACACATGTCAGAATGGCCTATTAACAAAACCACAACAAATAACAAGCGTTGGTGAGAACTTGGAGAAAAGGAAACTCTTGTACATTGCTGGTAGGAATGTAAAATGGTACAGCCACTATGGAAAACAGTATAGAGGTTCCTCAAAAAATTAAAACTAGAACTACTATATAATCCTGCAATCCACTTCAGGATAGTTATATGAAGAAAACAAAAACACTAATTTGAAAAGACATATGCACCCCTATGTTCATTGCAGCATTATTTACAATAGCAAGCTATGGAAGCAACCTACATGTCCATAGATAAATGAATGGATAAAGAAGATTTTACACACACACACTGGAATATTACTCAGCCATAAAAAAGGATGAAATCTTGCCATTTGTAAGAACATGGCTGGATCTAGAGGGTATTATGCTAAGTGAAGTAAGTTAGACACAGAAAGACAAATACTATAAAATTTCACTTATAAGTAGAATATAAAATAAATGAACAACAACAACAAAAAAAAAAATAGAAACAGACTCATAGATACAGGAAACAAACTGGTGGTTACCAGAGGGGGAAAGAGTTGGGGAACAGATGAACTAGGTGAAGGGGATTAAAAGGTACAAGCTTCCAGTTATAAAATAAACAAGTCATGGGGATGTAATGTGCAGCATTGGGAATGTAATCAATAATATAGTAATAACTTTGTATGGTAACTAGAATTACCATGGAGTTCATCTTGTAAATATATATAAATATCAAATCACTATGATGTACAACTGAAATTAATAGACTATTATGTCAATAAAACAAAAGCAAGACAATAGACCCAAAATGTAGTCACTTATGCTAAACCCACATCACCCAACCAAGACTTAGCTTAAGTATAGTTCCAGCTCTCCCAGAAATGGAATCTGCCTGATAAGACTCCTGTCATCCCCTAAAGGAAAGTAGCCTTGCAATAAACAGCTGACTTTTTTTGCCTAGTATAACTTCTTTGTCCTGCACCCTTCTGCCTATATAAGTCTTCCATTTTGTACAGCTCCTTGGAGCTCCTTTCTCTCTGCTAGACTGGATACTGCCTAATTCAAATCAATTTTTGTTCAAATAAACTTTTTAAATATGCCTCAGTTTATCTTTTAATAAAGACATAACCAACATTAAACAGACAACTAGAGGGCAGGAAGGAAACCTGTAAAACCCATCCATAGTAAGGTAGCAAAAAATCAGCCCCAGTGTGAGCTAGATGAAGCCCAGGCCCTGCAACTTAAGCTGTTGCCATAAGGAGCAGTGACTGTGTGTGCATGCCCACTCCGATTTGTGGGTGGAGGGGCTTCTCACTTCTCCCAGGAGTGCTCGATGCTAGAAGTCACCTAATGGATAGAGAAAATGAAGTCATCTGTGAGAGGGTTCACTCAGCCTCTAGATGTTACCAGAAGCCACAAACTCACATTGTGCTTCCTGTAATATCTGCCATAGACCTAGCTCCAGGGCAAGTCTGCCTTCCATAAACAAACTTTAAGATAAAGTTCAAACATTTTTGTGAGTAATTTGAGATGAGGCTGTTGGAGGTACCTGCTGATTGGATTTGACTGAATGAAATGGACTGAAGCTGAGACGGGCAGAATCCAAAGAGGGCTGAATCGACAGGGGTGATGGCCAAAGATAGAATTTAAATCACCTAAAAGGAGCCACACATACTTCACACCCCTAAAAAGAAAGGCTTCAAGATGGTGGAGCTATGGCTTCCTAGGCTGTTCTATGGAAAAACAAGCAGCCTACATCTCTGCCCCCAGAGGATCACAAACCCAGACTATGATACCCTGGGGGCAGGGATGGGGTGTGAGGCCCAGGCCATTAATTCAGACAACACATATTCTATATCTACCATGTGCCAGACCCTGGGGACCCCGCAGAGAGAAGCTGACTGACGGGTCCCTACTCCTGTGCAATTTATATTCTTAAAATATGTACATATCAGCTAGTGATAAATGCTATGAGGAGAGAGTGACGGTGGCTACACCAGACGGAGTAACTAAGGAGATGGCATTTGAGATGTCCCAAGTCTAGGGTGGCAGGACAGCCATTCTTGGCCCTCACTCCTTACCTCCCCACCACTAGGGAGCTCTTTCTGACAGGAAAGGTGCTGTGGAGAGCTGCAAGGCAGTTGTCATTGGTACCCGGCGGGGGTGGAGGTGGTGCTAACAGGGGACTAGCCTGCGTGGTCACCTCCTACCTTGTGAAAATGTAGCAGGAGAACACTAGCAGCTCGCAGGGGAGAACAGCCTGGGACGCATGCGCACTAGTGCCCACAGCGGAGACTTGGAGACTCGTGCATGCGCGTGAGGGCAGGAAGGGGACGCCTAGCCCGACTGGAAGGGGTGGGGGATGTGAGACAGCTGCTGCCGTTGCTGCCACCGCAGGAGGCCAGGTGGAGCAGTGTGCTGGGGAGAGGGTCTGAAGGGCAAGTGCTGCTGCTGGGTCTGCCCGTGAGATGAAGCAGAAGCATCGCCCTTTCTGCTTTAGCGTGAAAGGCCATGTGAAGATGCTGCGGCTGGTGAGGGCCGGCTTGCGGGGTGGAGGGCAGTGTGAGATGGCTATAAAGAAGGACTTAGAATGCCCTGTTTTCTCTTCCAACCTTGTTTTTATCAAGGCCGCCCTAGAGGCAAGGCATTTCGCTATGAACCCAGCAGGAAGGAGAGAAATAAGGCACAGCCCTCCCTTTCAGGGACTTTACACAATCATAAAGCAAAATCAGCATATGTACCTGAATGGCCTACACTTGGACCCAAAACCAGGTACCCAGGTTACCAGGTGAGGCAGCTGCAGTTGTACCACTCAGAAGCCAACAAGATAAGATGACTCCGGGTTTTCCGTGGATGCCATGTTTACTTACTGTAAGTCAGAAGTTTGATGTGACCAAGCTCAGGGCTCATACCGCCCAGAGCCAGGACAATGGAACTACCAGCTTCTGGAGTGTCGGACCTACCAGGAGCATTGTAGTCAGTTCTGAACAGACATTTGGAGAGAATGAATCATCATTTGGAGGAGGTTACCTAGCTTGTTAGACAGGTAGAAACTACCATAGGAGAATATGTTGAAGGAATTCAAGAAAAAGAGAGAAGGAAAAAATGTTTTTTAGAGAAGTGGCATATAGGAGAGGGGTGGAAATAGTTA